TGTCATAAGAATAAAGAGATTGAAATAACGATAACAGGGAAAATTAATATCTATAGATTGACTATTGGATACGATTCCAAGGATGTTATTTATTCCATTATCTGTGGTGACGAGATTGCAACCACAAAAACATGGTTGCAGATTGCTAAAAAAATATATATATATCGCATGAATGGTATTACAATGGAGATATCAGAGTACAATTGTTTACATTTTTGAGTAGATAGCCAAAGAGCTAATTTTAGATAAAACCAAAGAATTTGATGAAGTTTTTCTTAGATTGAAAGTCCTTTGTTTACTTGGGAAACGCCTTTTGAAATCGCCTTTGTAAAGAATCAAGTACGATTATTTCACCAGAACAGTGAACATGTAGATCGATTTAAATAATTAATTAAAAGTAATGTATGAGTTTAAATTTAAATAATTAATTAAAAGTAATGTATGAGTTTAAATTTAGATAATTAATTAAAAGTAATGTATGAGTCAATGCCTTATCAACCACCCACCCCTCCCCACCCCCACCCCCTCCCATCGATTCAGACTGCAGGTATTAGTCATGTCCTCTCAATCCCCTCCCCCCCCCACCCCACCCCCCAAAAAAATATGATTCACGTGCTTCAAGAAAGTTGCGAGCATCTCTCCTTTCCACAAGCCAAAATCAGCCCTTGTGAGCTACCTCTGACCGCCCAGCCTCCCCGTATAGGCTCTAAAATAATTACATTCTACTGAGTTTGGCGCATTTATAGGCTGGCTTCAACAAGGCCATTACCCGTAAACTGCGCAATAAGGGTTCCGGTGGCCATAACCGTGGTGCGCAATTGTCGGTGAAAAAAAAATCAAAAATAATTTTTCCTGTTTAAAATGGAAGATGGCATGGGAAGTATGGAAGAGCCAAATATCAGTTCATTATTTCATGGAAGCAAAATAGAGGCAGCCATGATTAAAAATAGCCTTCACGTTATACCAGGCAAGTCGCAGTTACGCTCTGTTCTTCATACGTAGTAGTTTACGGGTTAAGTGTGATTCCGATGCATAGTGAAAATTACGGAGAGAGGAAAAGAGAGGAGAGAAAGGAGGAGAGAGGAGATAGAGAGGAGAGAGAGAGTGGAGGTAGAGAGGGAAGAGAGAGAGAGGAAGTAGAGAGAGAGGAGGTAATGAGGGACAGAGAGAGGAGGTAGAGAGAGAAGTAGAGGGAGAGAGAGAGGAAGTAGAGACTTGGTATGACCTGGGCCGAGTGTGCTCTATGTGTAGGTGTACCGTGCCTAGTCCTGCCCAGAGTAAGATAGTTCCCTGCTTGAGTGTAGTCCCAGAAAAAAGATAAAGTGAAAAATGTGGAAACGTATGAATGAGAACGAATATCTTCACAATACAAGAGATGTATTTTTCGGATTAAATTATATCTTTGTCATATTATGTTATATTAAGTTATATCTTTGTCAACACGAATACGGTTCAAAGTGATAGAAACCCGGGTGTTAGGATTTTAATGAACAGGAAGACACAGACTTCACAGCCACTATTTAGATGCCGCCTGTAAGTAATATATATTATATATATATATAATATAATATATATATATATATATATATATATATATATATATATATATATATATATGTATATATATATATATATATGTTGTGTGTGTGTGTGTGTGTGTGTGTGTGTGTGTGCGATTTGTATTAGGTACAAACTTTAGGACTTCGAAAACAGGCAAGTTTGTCCTTTCCTTCGTACTACGCCAGCCCTTCCGACCGCCGAAGTCGCCTCGCAACAAAACATCCCAAGCCGCTACCTCCCTTACCCACAAACCCCCCTCGAGGGAAGATAAAAAACTGCCGGTTTGTTAGAATTGAGCGAGTCCCGACCCCAAGAATATTCGTATACTTGCCATGCATAGATAAAGAAAATAAATGCGTATCTATCAGGATATCAATGATGTTGATGTATATCTACCGGGCAAATAGATAGTTAAATGTATATCTATCAGATATATAGACAGATATGCCTGTATTTCTGCGTCTGTATTTATGAAAGTTCATCGGGTCGGGCCTGGCACAATTTTAACTAACCGACCGACTGTCCTTCTAGAACAACACTCAAACCGCCATAGAGGAACAAGACGAATCCAAACCATTCTAGTTACCAAGATTAGCTAGTCACCAAGATCCAGTAATGACCCTCCCTTCCCCGATAAGATGTTCCTGTAGGTTACTTAACTCCTACACAACATGAGAGTCACTGCAATCAGTCATGTGATAAGAACATAGCTACAAGGCGCATGACTACATACTGGTGCGAGAATGAGTGCGCTGTGTGAGGACGCGGTATATGATATGAGTAATGTATAACATATGAAAATTCTTTGATATGAGGAAGTTGTATGTGAGGAATGAGGATGTTGTGTGATATGAGTAATGAGTAACATATGAAAATTCTGTGCAAGATTGAGGAAGTTGTATATGAGAAATGAGGATGCTGTGTAAGATGTGAGTAATGAATAACATATGAAAAATCTGTGCAAGATATAAGAAAGTTGTATGATAATTGTAGGTGTTGTATAAGAAAGTTGTGTGAGAAATGAAGTCGCTGTAGGAGAAATGTATAAGGCATATAAGGCGCTTGTATAGGAAGTGAGGAAGTTGTATAAAAATTGAAACTGCATGATAAATGAACCCGATGTATAAGAAATGTATAAGATATAAAATGTTTACATAAGAAATGAGAAGTTGTATAAAAAAAATAAAGAATTATGAGAAATGAAGGGGCTATATAAGATACGAAAACCCTGTACAAGAATCGAGGAAGCTGTGTGAGCAACGAAGGAGCTGCACGGGAAATGAGAAGGATGAGTTGGAAATGAAGAAACTGTGAGGAAAATGAGGATAGTTTATGAGAAATGAATAGGCTGTATAGGATATGAGGAGGCTGGATAAGATTATGAAGAGGAATATGAGAAATGATGATAATACTAATGATAGGGATCAGGATAATGATAATAGTTGTAATGATTATAATGCTAATAGTAATAGTGATTGTAATAATGATAATAACAATAAGGATAATGATAATGATTTTGATGATGATGACGATATTAATAATAATTATGATGATCATAAAACTATATAAGATAATAATAGTAATAATAATAGTATTGATGATAATAAGAAATAAAAATATAATAATAATCATAATAATGATAATAACAAGAATAGTAGTAGTAGTAGTATAATAATATAATAATAATAATAATAATAATAATAATAATAATAATAATAATAATAATAATAATAATAATAATAATAATAATAATAATAATAATAATAATAATAATAATAATAATAATAATAATAATAATAATAATAATAATAATAATAATAATAATAATAATAATAATAATATAATATAAATAATAATAAATAATGATAATAATAATAATAAATAATAATAATATAATA